AAGAAAGTGATTCATGGGGGGCCCCTGGCCTGGGAGGGTCCTTTCCTTCACGGCTCCAGTACTTTGATCTGAACAGATCAAGCCTCAGGGAGGACTGGAAWTGGGCAGCGCCCTTCTCTCCCTCACCATCTTCACATCTCCTTCACTCAGAACTGTCACTGTAGCCCATCAAAGTGACAGGTGGGTCACCCTGAGCGAGTAACAGCTTCCTGGTGGGTCTTCATCTATCTGGATAGCTCTACAGATGTCCCCTAGAAGTCTTGACACATTGCAGAGACTCAGAACATAATCGTGGATAAACATGTCTGCACAGAGACACAGGGTCAAATACCTGTCTCTGCAGCTCTTCCTCTGACCCTACCCCACCATCTCCCTTTCTGTCACTGTCATGTTCCTCAGCCTCTCCCTGGCCTCACAGTCTCCTCCCCACCTTCTCTTTCACCCTTGCATTTCTCCCAAAGCCACTGGGCCCACTAACCTCACTGGACAGAAATTGAGGCTCATTTTGGAAGAAGTCAGCCTCCCAGGGTCACCTGTGGGATGTATAGAGGAGTGGCATGGGGGCTAAGAAAGGGGTTCTTAAGGCTCCAGACACACTCCCAGCACCTTGGAGTTGAAAACACAAGTTTCACAGCAAACACTGTCCCTCGTAATATATGTGAGGTGTGATCTTGCATTTGCACCCACATAATCAGAGAGGCACACATGCCACATAAAATCACCTACAAGCACCAAAAGGCACACATCACAGAATCACCCRCACTTACAGAAATACCGTATTCCACGTGCAAACAGACCCGGCTCTGCAATTATATGCCCATCCCCTGATAAGCCATGGATCCAGTCCCTGCTAGAAAGAACATGAGCAAAGACTGGATTTTGTCCACTATTGAATCTCCAGGTATGAACAGAACATAATCATCACCATCATCTTCATCATAAATCCAAAATATGTTTCCTATGTACCTGACATCATCATAAGCCTTTCACATGAAYTGATTCTTTTAATCTTCTCAACAACTCTATTTGCAACAAGCCCTTTTACATATGGGGAAAATGAAGAGCAGTGAAGTTCAATGACTTGCCCAAGGTTTCACAGCCAGTAAGAGGCAGGTGGGATGTGAACCCAGGTTTTCTGGCTCCAGATTCCATCACATAAGGCTACCCCTCAATAAATATTTGTCGCCTTAATCCAGTAGGAATTGTAGGACTACAATAACTGAGGACATTTCCCAACCCAATGCGCAGTGTATAGAATCACAGGTGTGTAATACAACACAGATATAAAAGGGACCCTTCACATGTCACACCAGAGAGCACAGAAACAATGCAAAGAGACAATCCCCACACAGTCACATAACCACACACGGAGACACAACTCACCCAAACCAGACCCAGTGACACACCCACAACTCCCTGAGTCCCTCCTGTCCCGCTGGGCAATCCCTCAAGGAAACAGCAGGTTTAGGATGGGAAGGAGGGTCCCCTTCTTGTCTGCTCAGCTAGACCGGTTCCACCAGAGCCATGGATGGCACAATCTGCCTTGTGAAACCCATGTTGGGCAACCGGGTTCAGACCCGGATGCCTGGATTCTGAAGGCAGAGGGATTAGAAGCCTGGACTTCTATGTGCTGAGAGAGTAGGGGGCTGGGCGCCCCACTCATTCTCAGGGAGGGGATGAGGGGGACTAGGACATAGACTCTCAGGTCCAGAGAAAGGAGAGCTGGGGCCTGGACATCTGGGTTCTGGGAAACAGGGGGCCTTAGTCCTAGATTCCTCTCTTTGAAGGTAGGATTCCAGATTTGGCAAGTAAAAATACAAGAAACCGCACAGCATGGTGGTGTACATCTATAGCGCCAGCTAGGCAAAGCTGAGGCAGGAGGAACACTTGAGCCCAGGAGTACTTGAGCAACCTGGGTAACATAGTGAGACGCAAGCCCGGTACTGGGGTGCAAGTCTGTAATCCCAACGACTTGGCAGGCTGAGGCAGGAGGATTGCAAGTTCAAGGCCAAYCTCAGCAATTTAGCAAGACTCTGTCTCAGAATAAAACATAAAAAAGGACTGAGGGGCTGGGGTTGTGGCTTAGTGGTAGAGCGCTTGCCTAGCATGTGTGAGGCATTGGGTTGGATCCTCAACACCACATAAAAATAAATAAATGAAATAAAAATAAAGGTGTTGTGTCCATCTACATCATATATATATACACACACATACACACGTGTGTGTGTGTGTGTGTGTGTTTCGTTTTTTAGAAAAAAAAAAGTACTGGGGATACAGTTCAATGTTTAGTAAAGCACCCCTGGGTTCAATCTGTAGTACCACAAAACCAACAAAAAGCAATGAAATAAATTTTTAGTATAAGTATGTCCCAAATAGTTCATGGAACTTACTAACACTAAAATAAAATATATTCGTTGTTTATCTGAAATTTCAATTAAATAGACACCCTGTATCTGACAACCCCATTGAGGGGGACAGAGGCCAGATGCCTAGTGGCTGGGCCATAGCACTCCTCAACTCCCCAGACCTCACCTCTTCCTGCTCCCTGCTCTCCTCACCCCCAAACAGGCCACCTCACAGCTTCCCCAGTCCCGATTTCCTCATCTATGTGACTCGCTATATCTAATTGGGGCCCCCAGGCTGTATCAGAAGAGGAAACTTGAGAACAACTCAGATTGTCATCTTAGGAGCCTGAGGGTCCTCAGAGATGATGGAGTCACTTGAACCCATAGTCTGGACAGCTAGGGAGAYGGGCCCTATGGCTGCCCCCAAGGAGTAGGCTTGCGAAGGGGAGAGATGGGGAGAGGTGAGGAGAGACCCTGAAATAGGAGACAGAAACCCCAGGATATGGACACAGAGGCACAGAGCCTGGGAGGAGAGAGACTGGGAGATGGGGAGACAGACCCAGAGATTCAGAAACAGATTTGCAGAGATGGAGAAAGAGATGAGGAACTGGACACATGGAGACGCAGAGATGGGGATACAGGGATGCAGGAAGCAAGTGGGGAGATGTCCCCCACGCATGCAGGCTCCTGGACCCATGGCTGATGTGCACGGGCAAGGGATTACTGCCCAGATGGAGACAGAGAGAACCAGCCATCTGGGAGGTGCTGAGAGGCTTGGGCCCTGGTGTGTTGGGCGTGGAGGAAAGCTGTGATCCCAGACCAGTGGGTTATCCATCTGCCATCACCCCATGTCCATACCTAGTGGAGTGACGGATACTACCTTCTCTATAGGTGACACCCCAATTTTCTGGTGCCTCCTACATTTTTGGGGGGTGACGCCCATGTTAGCAACCCCACCCAGCTCTAACACCGCTTCCCTCACTGAGTCATGTCAACCCCGTCGGTCCTGTTGAGGGGAGACTTTGGCAACATGAGCATCTATCCCCCAGCTTCACCCCTGGAGCCCCGCAGTTTGAAACCCCAGGACCCTACCTACTCAGGAATGTGCAGCCTAGCTTAACAAGACTCCAGCCCCCTCCCTCAGATCCAGGGGTCCAGGCCCCAGCCCTCTTCCCTTAGACTTGGGGTTCCAGGCTCTCCTCAGCCCCATCTTCTGCTCTATGAGGACCCTGATGAGTCCAGGGGTCACATGTACATCCTTCAGTTTCTTTCACAGTTTGCAGCCTCCTCTCTTCCCAGTTCGGAGTAGAGGTGAGTGGACCCCTGACCTTGGTCCCTACATGAATCATTCCTCAAAATACACTCACCCACCTGCCCCTGCCCTGTCTCCTGGCCTTGAATGAGAGAACCATGTCTCCCTGGAAGATGGCAGGGTGAAGTCACTAAGCATGAATGAGAGCCTTAAAGGAGAACCCCACTCCAGACTCTCTCCTGCATCACCCCTCCTTTCTCACCGCCATTCCCCTGCCCCTTGCCGGGCTCCCCTTCACCTGCCCCTCCCTGTAGCCCTCCACTTCTGCACCTCTCTTCTCCAAATCCTAACTTCCTTTTTTGTTATTTTTCTCCAGATCTGTGGGCCTCTTTGTCTCTCACGGTCTTTCTGTGTCCTCCTGTCTCTCTCCTTCCCTCCCATCTTGCCACTCTCCTGCCCGTCCCTGTCTCCCTGCTCTTTTGGCCTCTGAGCTGTCCCAGCTGTGCCCCTGGTCCCTCCCTGTCTCTCTGGCTCTATCTCTTACCACTCCTGTTTCCATCTCCATCCGTGACACCCCCCCACACACACACACACACACACTTGCAGAGGTGAGGTGGAAGGGAAGTGGGGGGTGGGGAATGCAGAGGGAAGGCGGGAAATCCCTGTGAGGGGAAGAGGGTCAGCCAGACCGGCTTGGCTCCCTGGGCACCTCTGTCAGAGCCCCGCCCAGGGCTGCGTGGCCGGGCCCATATAAGCAGCTCTTGGCCTTAGACAGAGAATTCAGTGCCTGTGTCACCTCACCTGTCTCCATCTCCACTCCGTCGTTGCCTGCAGGTAGGAGCACCCTTCCCTTCCCAAGGCCCTTGGCTCTGAGGCTGGCACCTCTGTCCTTCTCAATGCTCCCTGAGTCAGCCTTCTCAATCTGAGCAGGGCTGGTCTGAGTTTGATAATCCAAGGGCCCAGTATTATTTTAATCCACTTGGCCTGGGCCATCAGAGTGGGGCATTTCTCTTTTACCTCTCTGAGCCTCCGTGTTCCCTCTGTGAAATGGGCTTGCAGAGGAATCGAGGTGCTGGACCTCTGTGGGCACCTGGCTGTGATCTCCTTCTCATCTTGTCTCTGCCTCTACCTGTGTCTCTCTTGGTCTCTCTCTTCATCTCTGCCTCTACTATGAGGAGGGTCCTCTGGGGTCTGTCGGGCAGCTGTAAAGAGATGGGCGAGTCTCTCGCCCTCACCCTATCCATCCCCGATTCCATGTCTCTCCCAACTGGCAGGCTGACTTGGCCTCTTTCTCCCCAGTTCCCCTTCCCCTGAAAGCCTTGCCCCCAGTGCCCCAGTCCCTTGCCCTCCCCTCCCCAGTATCCCGCAACCCTTGGACAGACTCCGAAGCTGTTGCCGCAGCCACCTCCGACGTCTACAGCTCCACATCCTCAGGGCCAGCAAAATGCAGTTCGAGATGCACGACAACGTGAAAGGCAAAGGTGGGATCACTAGATGGACCAGCAACCCTCCCAGTACCTGGAACCTGGCCGTCTCCCTCCCCTGGGCACCCTGGCTTTGAAGACAAATGGCACCTGCTTCCATCCCAGAGGTCCCTGAAATGCTGGAACCTAGCACCCCTGGCCCAGACGTGGAGGAGGAGGCTACATGTTCAGGCCCTGCCCAGATGTGGTGCCCATCTTTCCTCAGACCAGCAGGAACCCTACCCTCAGCTCAACCAGATGTGCAGGAGGCAGCGGCAACAGGGACAGACTGGGATGTTGACGCATAGATGTGGCAGAAAAGAACTGGGAGGAGCAATGGTGTCCCTTCAGTGGGCGGCCTGGTGGCCCTGCCCAGACTGCCCGGCAGAGGGAAGGGTGGCAGGGGCGCTGGTCTCAGGAGGCACTAAGGTGCCTGCTGATCTTCTTCTCCCACCTCTGCAGCCATGTCCTACCCGGTGACCAGTCAGCCCCAGTGCGCCAGCAGCTGCTATCAGACCCAGCTCAGTGACTGGCACACGGGTCTCACGGACTGTTGCAATGACATGCCCGTCTGTAAGTGCCCTGGGAAGGAGGGAGGGGAGGGAAGCTCACCTGTACGCCACTCTGCCACTCCGACGTCCACCTTTCTAATTCCACTCCCACCTCCCTTCTTTAGTTCCACTCTAACCCTTGCCCCCTCTTGGGACCCCCAACCTCACAATCTAACAACCCTCAACCTCCCCTCAGCCACCACCCTGGATCCTCAACTTTCCCAGTTGGGACCCCGCTCCCTCTTCAAACGCTCTCTGTCACTAAACCACCTCCTTCGACCCTAATTCCCCCTGGGACCTCTTTTCCCCATTCCCTCCGGGACCCTCACTGGGRGGCGCAGCGGGCCGGAGGCGCCCGTCGGCTCCGCCCCTGACGGCCCTCGCCCCGCCCAGGTTTGTGTGGCACTTTCGCCCCGCTGTGCCTCGCCTGCCGCATCTCCGACGACTTCGGCGAGTGCTGCTGCGCTCCGTACCTGCCCGGCGGCCTGCACTCCCTCCGCACAGGCATGCGCGAGCGCTACCGCATCCAGGTGCGCGCCGGGCGGAGCCCCGCGGGAGCCGGGGGCTGGGGACTGGCACCGTGGGACCCCAGGCAGAGCTCTGACCTCTCTCTTTCACCCCCCAGGGTTCCGTCGGGCACGATTGGGCGGCCCTCACTTTCTGTCTGCCCTGCGCCCTCTGCCAGATGGCGCGGGAACTGAAAATTCGAGAGTAAAGACGTCCCCCTTCTTCCTCCTCCTAGTCCACCACTCACGCCTCTGATCCTTCCCGGGAGAGCCTGCCCCGCTCACCGCCAAAAATACACCCACAATAAAAACCTGAAAACCAACTCCGCCTACATCCTTTTATTTTTTTTCTCCCTAGGAAAGAATCTGGGTGGAGAGGGAGGTTTGGTGAAGGAGGTGGGGACGTGACAGATGCCTAGGTGCGCACGGAGTTTGGTGGAGTCTGGCGTCTGATGGGACAGGCTGTGTATATGGCTTTTGTGAGTCTTCCCTCTCTGAGGCCAAGTGTTCTTACTAACACAGCAAAACCACAAACCCCTTAACAGCACATTGTGAAGCTCTGTCCACATCCTGAAAATAAGCAAAACTAGAAAGGCAGTCTCAACGGAGTCGAAACAGTAAAGTTAAAAAAAAAAAAAAAAATCTAAGCCTTCCCCTAAATTCAGTCAATACGTGTGGACTTTTGGCTTCATGCTTCTACTAACAGGTTTGGGGAACTTTTATCTCCAAAACAAAGAACTGCCAAGCTTAAGGCTCTATGGAACTAAAAGGCATCCTAAGGATTTTCTAGTTCAATGAATACTCCCCCACCTCTCCACTCCCCTCTCTCTTTTTTTTTTTTTGTACTGGAGATTGAACCCAGGGGCACTTTGCCACTGAGCTCTTTATTTTGAGACAAGTTTTCTCTAAGTTGCTGAGGGCCTTGCTAAATTGCTGAAGCCTGGAACTGGTGATTCTCCTGCCTCAGCCTCCCTTGTTGCTGGGATTACAATGGTGCGCCACTGCACCTGGCTTAATCAATCCTCTTTTCCTTCTTTTCCCTCTTTTCTCTCTCTCTCTCTCTCTCTCTCTCTCTCTCTCTCTCTCTCTCTCTCTCTCTCTCTTTCTTTCCCTTTACTGTGGTACTGAGGATTGAACCCAGGGCTCCACACATGCTATGAAAGTGGGTGGCCACTGTGCTACATCCTCAGACCAAGCTAATTTTGTGTGTGTGTGTGGGGGGGGTGTGTTGCTGGGGATCCGGCCCAGGGTCTTGTGCATTCCAGGCAAGCACTCTACCAACTGAGCTATATCCCCAGCCCCTAATTTTTTAAAATTAAAGACATTTCTAGTAATGTGTCTATCTCTCTCTCTCTCTCCCCATATTTCCTCAATTTTAGAATGATCCTAAGAACATAAGAAACTTGCTTTCAATGGTCCCAAACAGAGAGAGTTGAGGGAAATAAAATTTTGGTACAAAAAGTGATTGGGAGGGCTGGRTTTGTGGCTCAGTGATACAGTACTTGCTCCTCACATGTGAGGCACTGGTTCAGTCCTCAGCACCACATAAAAATAAATAAACAAAATATTTTTAAACAGTGATTGGGATTCTTTTTTGTCTATACTTCACAAATATATTTTTATGTCACTTTTAATTTTCAGACTCCCTCGGCTACATCCTTTTTTTTTTTTTTTTTTTTTCCTCCCTAGGAAGGAATCTGGGTGGAGAGGGAGGTTTGGTGAAGGAGATGGGGACATGACAGCACCTGATAGCACCTAGAACAGAAATTGGGAATTCAATGGAATCGATGTGTACTTTGATTAAGTACACTTTGTCTAGTCCATCTTTAGCAATACCCCTCCCTAATGGCTGAAGTTGGGGACACAATTTGATGGTACGCTCAATTTTCCATTTTCCTAATTCAGCCCAGCCCAGGGGGGCCAAGCTGCCCTCCCAAGTCTCCAATAAGACTAGTTTCCTGCCGAGGAATGTCCTATGGCCTTTCGTATCAAGAACAGAGCTAGTCTGGAATAAAGGAGCCTCTGGGAGCTGGATTTGACTTCTGCAAGGACATGAGTTGTTGGGGCCTCGGGCTTCTCAGGAAGCACTGCCCAGAGGACTCGTTTTCACATTGTGTTTGAGTGTATATGGCAGGACTGTGCAAAGAAAGTTAACTCCTCTGTTGGTTGACCCCAAATCTGCAGGTCTAGAACTTATGGCAAGTTCAGGGAAAGACAAAGCTGGCCAACAGAACAGATCAGGGGTATAGACTATTCTGGCTTCTACTTATGTCTCTGAGCTCAGAGACAGAGGGAGAGGGATGGCACTTTTCTTTTCTTTTTTGGTTATTGGCGGACACAACATCTTTGTTGGTATGTGGTGCTGAGGATCAAACCCGGGCCGCACACATGCCAGGTGAGCGCGCTACCGCTTGAGCCACATCCCCAGCCCCAGGGATGGCACTTTTCCAAGGAGTTTTAACCAGCTCACCCAGCAAACCCTCTCAAGGAGCACCTAGTGCCTTGAAATTTCAGGGCTCTGGTTCTTGCCCTCCTCAATCAACCCTCTTTATGAAGCTAAGCATTAAGGGAGAGAACTCTCTCTCTCCCTTAGCATGTCCAACTCCATATTTAACTTCACTAGACCCTTGTCTTTAAATAGCCAGACCCTTGTCTGACAAGTCATACCCTTGTTTTGTCAGACCCTTGTCTGACAATAGTCAGGTGACGTGTGTTTTTGCTTTATTTTATTTTATTTAAACCCAGGGCTGCCCCACTGAGCCACACCTCCAGACCTATTCATTCATTCATTCATTCATTCATTCATTTAAAGACCGAGTTTTGCTGAGTTGATGAGGCTGGCCTCAAACTTGGGATTCTCCTGTCTCAACCTCCAAGTAGCTGGGCTAACACATGTGTGCCTGGTAGTATGCTTTCTTTCATTTCCTACAGTGGTCAGCAACAGAGCCTCTGGCCTGTCCACTGAATTATGTGTTGGAAATTGCATGTAAGTCCACTGTTTTTGTTGAGATCTATAGAATTGAAAAATGTCTTATAACTTGACTATTAAGACCATATGTGGCAAGATATGGTGGTATATGCCTGTAATCCCAGTGACTCGGGAGGCTGAAGCAGGAGGATCGCAAGCTTGAGGCAGYCTCAGCAACTTAGTGAGACCCTAGGCAACTTAGTGAGGCCATCTCAAAATAAAATTAAAAAGGGCTGCAGATGTGGCTCAGCAGTAAAGTGCCCCTGAGTTCAGTGTCCAATACAAAAAGAAAGAAAGAAAGAAGACCAGCTGAGCATCTTTTGGCCTCAAACTCCCACCTGTCAAAAGGCACCCACCAGACTATAATCGGCCATCTCCTATATGTATAAACCACTCCTAAATCAGCTTCCAGCAAGATGGTCCTTTAGGATAACAGGCTGCTGGTCCACCATCTTGTGATCATCATTGGAATAAAGGCCTTTCTCTCCCACCACCTTGCCACTCAACTAATGGCACCACTGTGCAGCAAGTAGACCCATTTTTGCTCAGTAACATTTTCTGCAAAAGCAACTAGTAGGTCAGAGTATGTTCAGGACTCAAGATGGGACAGACTTSGCATCTGATCTCAACTCTTACTACTTACTAGCTGTGTTATTTTGATGAATTCATAAACCTTTCTGAGCTTGTTTTGTCCTCTGAGGATATCAATCCCTAATACGCCAAAATGCTACTATAAGGACAAGGGATAGAACAGAAAGAAAGGCCAAAGTGTGACTTCAAATAATCATTGTTGTTAATATTACTATTATGTGTATATGGTAGACTATTCCCACATTAACATATTGTCACTCTTATTTAATGTTATTCCCCCCCAATCTGCATATGTAACCATCAAGTGATATCTTCACTTAGAATATCTAAGAGCTGCCTCAAATTTAACATATTCCAACCTAACTTCTGGCCCACCCCACCCCTCCGCTTCCCACATTCTCCCCAATCTTAGGAAATAGCAAGCTCTGTGTCGGCTACTGGGTCCCTGTCCCTTTCCTCCAGTGCCGAGCTGTCAACAGATTCTGTTGGCTCTACTTTCAGAATATACCCCAAATCTCACTCCTACCCACTGAGCTGCCCCCATCTTGTTCTATCCACTCTCCTTTTCAGGCTGAAAATATCAGGCTGTATCCCCTTTAATTCTTCTGCTCTAACCATGTGGGTCTGTTCTTCTCTAAATGCGAGGTAGGCATACTCCTATCTCGGGGGCTTTGCTCTGGATCTTCCCTCAGATGCTGTCTGGCTCACTCCCACTGCTGCTCGCATCATCTTATAGAGAGGAATTTTCTTCCCAACTTGGCTTAAATTGCAAGTGTTAACCTCCCTCCCTTTACTGCCTTTTCAGGCCATGTTTCAAGATATGACATCATTTACTTATTATCAGGTACCTCATTGGTTTATCAGCTCTAGGAAGGTAGGGACCTCATTCATTGCTGTGTCCCCAGCACCCAGAATAGTGTGGGRCCCAGTGTAGGTGATCCCAGGTGGATGGCATAGGCTTAAAAAAGATGATTTTGTGTGGAGCAATGGAGTCAGTTTGTATCAGAATCCAATTTGCCTCTTAATTTGCCTGGAGTTTTTAAAGAGACTTAGCTCTCAAATCCACAAAATAGGAGAATAAGTTTTTCAGTGGTGATGTTGGGAAAACTGAAACACTCATGCCAAGCACCCTGCACAGTGCCTGGAGGATTACAGACCCTTGGTAGAATGTTCCCCCTTTCCCTAAGTCTCCAGGATGTTATGTTGGCAGCCACAAGTGGGTTAGAATCCAGGCCTCTGACCTCCCATTCCCAGGTGTTCACCCACCACAAGCCTCTTGCATTCAAGTGCGTCCAGAGAGAAGTGAGAGCTGAAAGGTCAACCTGAAGGGTATATATGCATGCGCTACAGGGCAAGTACACAGGGGCATACACATGTCAGTGACAGATGACAAAGGAAGACTGGCTCTGAGTCACAGAGAAAAGGGCCAGTCATAGAGCATATGCTCTATTTAGGAAGGCTAAGTTACAGGGTGACTACTAGGAAGGTTCCCTACCTAAAGGGTCCAAGCATAATGCAGAGACCTGAAGAACTTTCGCTCCTTTCTAGGCAGGATATACTCTCCTGTGATTCGGGGTCTCTTGTCTCCAAGCAGCATGGCTCACTGCTAACCCTCAGCTCCCAGGCTGGTCAATTCTGCTTGCTTTATCCCCAAAYAGAAATCCCAATTTGTACACCCTGGCTCTAGGGCCTGCTTCGTGCTA